GCACTGTTTAGACAAAGAATGAGCAGGACACACACCACGTACACTCCATGTCCACGGAACGACCAGACCAGAGGATGACTCGAATACACCCCAAAATACACATGCAAATAGTACTGTTTGAGCTTGTTGGGTATACAATGAAGGCAAAATAGGTCAGTGGCATAGAAAATGACTAGGGAAGTGAGATGTCCATCGGGAAGGTTTGAAGAGTGAATATATATGAGCTGAGGCATTTGAGTAAAGTGTAGGTTATCTGACAGCATCTATAGAAAGCTGGGCAGAGGGGCCACCTGGAAATACACAGATTCTAGAGTGAGAGTAGGTTGGCAGGTTGGCACACCTGAAGGGTAAGGCCAAGGCAGTGGACCCGAACATCCTGCAAGTCACTAATGTGCTAGACTAGTAAGGAGTTGAAGGTTTGAGTCCATCCTGAGGTGCCTCAGAAGAAAGGCCTGGCAATCCACTTTTGAAAAATCACCATATGAAAACCCTGTGGCACACACACAGTTCTACTCTGGCACACAGGGGTTGCCAGGAGTCAAGGTGAGGTGTCAGAGTGGGAGCAGGGAGCCACCTCCTTCTCATTTCCCAGGATTAACTCCTCATTCTTAACATCTCAGCTCAATGGTCGATGCCTCTACCTGGCAGCTCCTCTGGCTACTTTTCTAGCCCTCTCTACCATACCCCTCTCAGCAGCAGTGCCCCCTATTAGATGCTGAGCTCCAAGGAGACAGGCCCATGCATGTCTGTTCACCTAATGTCCCAGATCCTGGTGCCACAGCCTGGCATAGAGAAATACTAACGACTGCAAAGGATTGACTAAGTTAGATTTTTGCTCTCTCAAAGAATGGTTTCTGTTCCCACCTCCACGCTCCCGAGTGTCCCGCACAACTTGTATCTACCCCTCCCTTAGCACTCAGTACGACTCTATGTGGTTGTTGGCACCTACACACACACACACACACACACACACACACACTCCCAAACTGTGACACAGAAGGGCAGAGCCTGAGCGCTTCCCCTCACAGCACCCCCAGAGGGTCCCCATCAAGGAGGCCATGGTTCTGTATGCTTTACGCTGACTCTTTTTGCTGTCAGAAACCTCTCCAAAGTCTTGAAGAACAATGAAGTCAGTTTAAAAACTAAAATGCACCTGATCCAAGCCATAGTCTTTCCAATCACCTGCTATGCCTCTGAGAACTGGATGATGATTAAATATGACAGGGAAAGGATTCATGTCTTTCAGACATGATATTGGTAAAAAGTACTGGATATTCTGTGGACTAGCAAAAGAACAGATGTGTCTTGAAGAAAGTGTGCCCTTAGTGCTCCTTGGAGGTAAGGATGGTGAAGTGTCATCCCATATACTTTGGGCATGTTGTTGCTGAAGCAGGGGCGGGGGCAGTTATTCCCTGGAGAGGAACATCATACTTGGGAAGGTGGAGGGTGGTGAAAGAGAGGAAGACCTCGACCAGAGAATGACACAGTGACTGCAGCAAAGTGCTCAAGTGTGATGATGAGGATGGTGCAGGATAGAACTGGGATCAGATCTGTTGTTCATAAGGTTGTTATGAGTCACACTTGAAAACACCTAACAACAACAATTTCCAACTTAAAGACACCCTCCCTCCCCACCTGGGACTAAGCAGAGTATGTGCCCTGGAAGCATGTCAAGACCCACACGCCCTCCCTCCCTAGGCCAGGTTAAGCATCATCATCCATCCTCTCCTGTCCCCACAGCCTGCAGAAGCTTGCACAGACAAGAGTCAAGTCTGTCTACAAAGACTTTGTATTTTGCAAATCAAAGATCTGTGTAAGACTGAGAAATATAACTGGAGACGAAAAATACAACATCTGACCTTGAGCCTGGCCCTGGAAGTTGGGGAACTTTGGTCATATTTGATAAGAAAACTTCTCTTTCCTCTAAAAACTCAGTACCTCCCTCACGTTGTCATTATGTTATGTTGTGTTATGTTATGTTATGTTATGTTATGTTATGTTATATTATTGTGTACCATCAAGTTGGAACAGACCCACAGCTCCAGTGGGTTTGCAGAAGCAGTCAATTTCAGGGGAGGAGATTGCCTCTCTCCCATGGAATAGCTGGTGGGTTCAAACCCCATGTCCTCAGGTTAGCAGTGCAGTTTCTTATCACTGTTGTTGTTATTGTTGTGTACCATTGGGTCAGAACCACCCCATAGCTGACCCTCTAGCAGGTTTTCATCTGCAGTTAATCACACAGGAGATTACTCATCCTTCTCCTTCGGAGCCGCTGGTGGATTAGAACCAGAATCCATTTGGGATTGCAGTACAGGTTCTTACCACTAGGCCCCCAGAGCTCCCTTTCTAGGTCGTATTTAATTTGTCAGTGTAAAAATCGTCAGCCTGCAGGAAGTTCTGGTGCTTCAAACCTGATCTTCGAATCCTCCAGCTGTAATATCCTTCTATATGATTTACAGCCAGAAATCCAAAGGAAACCAAGTATGACTCAGTTCTGACTCCAAGGTAGTGAGGGTTGTTGTTCCCCCACCTCCATTATTCTGTGCTGAGTTGTTGATGCTGTTGTGTACCACAGAGTCAAAACCAACCCATAGCTCACTCTCCAGCGGGTTTTCAGAGGCAGTTAACCGCACCGGAGGAGATTGCCCATCCTTCTCCCTCGGAGTGGCTAGTGGCCTCAGACCACAGGCATTTGAGATTGCAAAGCAGCTTCTTGCCACTAAACGCTTTACATGCACCGTCTTATTTAATTCTCCCAATAACACTAGATTTTAGGCTGTCAGTGTCCTCTTCATTTCACAGATGAGACAATCAAGACCTGAAAGAGTTACTTCGTATGTCATACAAATTCATTGTCACACAACAAATACTCAGGATTCACAACCAGCCTGCATGACTCCCTCCCTAGAGAAAGATGTTAGCCATTGTACTACTTGCCTCAAGTGTAGTTAGGAAATATGGTATATTGTAAAAATAAGACTATTCACCTGGAATGATGTTTATGCATGATAGAACATAAACAAGCAAGACAAGCAGGTAAAACAAGCAAGTTCCTACACAGTACATGCAACCTGATCCTAATTTTGTGTTGCATGCAAGGTAAAGACAGAAGGGTTTGGAAAGGTAACACTGCTTAGCATCTTGGTATAGATCTCTGAGTGGGTTGAATTACACGTGTGTTCTTTCAATGCTTTATTAGCTTATGCTTACTGATTTTTTTATAATAATTCTATGTTGTTTTTAATTAAGAAAAAAAGTCATTTTTTAAGAAATAGCATAAATGCTAAAGTTATTCCCTCATACTCACCTTGTGCATATACATGAATGTCTGACTATCAGTCTTGCTTTAAGGTGAATGACAGTGGCTGAAGCTAGCTCACAGCTTGGGTTTACTCTTGATGAAAAATGACTCCTTTTCCATTCAAGGCAGTAAAAACCCCCAGGTTGGAATGAAACAGCACAGATCCCTCCCATCCCACCCTCCCTTCTGCAGTGTGGCTGCCCAGCCCCCTCAGAAGCACTCCTGTGCACTTGCTCTGTCAAGAAGTAGCTGCCTGACAGCACAGGGCTATGTGAGCAATAAGTGTGGTTACCAATAATCCAGCTCCAGTACAGATCTGAGCACCTATTGGAGGGACCCCATGGAGCCTAAGATTCCCCATCACCTATCTCTGGGGCCCTCGAGGAAGCGCCTTACCAAGATCTAAATGATCAATAGAGATGAGAGTATCGGGTGGCCCAGAGACAAGAGCTCTGGTTTTGCTGCCAAATATCGAAGTTACTCTTGGCTGTGCCACCTACTTCCTGGATTGTGGTCTTAGGCAAGTTATTTCTTCTAAACCTGTATCTGCACTTGTCAAATAAGACATTAAAAATGCCAAGTTTTAAGGAGAGTTCTAGGGATCTAAATACTATATGTAACAGTGATGCCAGAAAGCAGCATTTCTTGAGTGCTGATTACAATGAGGTGCTCTGTTAGATGCTTTGGATGCATGCTTTTGTGTAATCCTCCCTCACAGCTGCCCTATGACGGGGCTCCGTGACTGTATCCATTTTACAGATGATGACACAGAAATACAGAATGTGAATTCATTTGCAAAGTTTCCCATCACTAGTAACAGGATAAAAATCTCTGCTTCCATAACTATGCCCACAACCCCTACATTGCATCTTTAGCCTGGCACAACAGAGGGGTTCATCCAGATGGCTGTCATTGTCCTGTCCCCCCACGAATGCTCTGCTGGCTTTGGAAGATGGTGTAACAGAGGAATGTCAGCCCACTTCTTCCCACATAGTCACCCAGACCACATTCTCACTTTCGAGAGCCTTCCTTTCAGTGGCCCAATCGCCCCACACGCCATCTGAGTCAGCTTCAGTGACTATGCACTGGCTTTCCTGCCATACAACCCACAACAATCGCCCCTTCTAGACCTGGGCTTGAACTTCGGCCCTTGGGCTGCTGGACCTCGTAGGGGGAAGGCTGTTGGCATTCACATCTGGCATCTCCTGCAATATTCTTTCAGGTCTGTCAGAATAGTGGAGCCCTGCTGCTGGGTCTCCCCAAGGCTCAGAACAGTAGGCCTGTCTGAACAGAAGGAACAACTCAAATCAGGAAAGCAGTGCCCTTAAGCAGCCTCACCACAGCTCAGTCTCCCCAAGACAGCTGGGGCACTGGATGTGTGCGTGTACGTGCAAATCTGGATGTGCCAATGTGTGATGGAGAGAGTCGTGTGCGTGAGAGGGTAGCGGATGGGTTGAGGTGCGTGTGCGCGCGTGGCTCCGATTGTGCGCTGCTTGCGCTCTTGGTTCTGGGGCGGGTGGCGGGCGGTGCGCAGCCTGAGAAGGTCTCCTCCCCCCATCACGTTGAGAAATCTCAGTGAGTCACCGAGTGGTTCTGCATATTAATGAGCTCGCTTGCGACGAGGGCAGGAGAGGATTTAAAAGAGGCCAGAGAGGGCGGAGGGAGGCTGTGGAGAAAGCGCGGAGCCCCACGCAGAGCCAAGCGCAGAGCGCAGCGCGCCCCGACAACACAGAGACATCCACCGACGGGCGCAGCCGGCGCGAGAGGGGCTGGGAGGCGCGCTCCGGGCACCGCGAGCAGAGCCGCGCGGCGTCTCTGAGCCACAGCTCGGACTGACGTTGCGGTCCCCGCGTCCCTGCTCCTGCGCCGCGTCCCTCCGGTCAGCATGAGGCTCCTGACGGCTGCGCTGCTCCTGCTGCTCCTGGCGCTGTGCGCTGCGCGCGTGGATGGTAAGTGCCGGGAGGTGTGCTTGTTGTCATCCCGTGCAGTCTTGGGGAACCCAAATGCCAGTTGCTAGGAATCCTAGATTCACTGGGGTCTGAGTGGGCACCGAGGACGATCGAGGGCAGGAAATCGCGTGTCTGGCTGAGTAACCTTTGGCGCGCTCTCCTGCAGGGTCCAAATGCAAGTGCTCCCGGAAGGGACCCAAAATCCGCTACAGCGATGTGAAGAAGCTGGAAATGAAGCCAAAGTACCCGCACTGCGAGGAGAAGATGGTGATGTGAGTTCTCCTGCCTCACCAGGGAGCCTTTGTGTCTGCGTTTCTCTCTTAACTAACTGTTGGGGTTGGGCTCACGGAGATTTCTCTCCACCTTTGTTAAGGCCTTTGTAAGGCCTTTGTAATTGTCCAGTAAGTCCTTGGGACGCTGGCCAAACAATTGGGAAAATAGTTTGGGCAAGGGGTCCCTTTCTCCGGAAATAGCTTCTCCAGGGAATTCACACTTCCTAGGATTCAAATGGGTAGCCTCCTTTATGCACACTGTCTGCTGCCAAACCCTCTGAGGAAGATTAAGAGTTAAATGGCTCCCATGTACCTACTTAGAACACTCATTTTCAAATCATACAAAATGCATCCCAAACTCTATTACTTGCACCTCAGCTGTGAAGCTGGTGTCCCCTTCGCTGGAGAGGGGATGAAAGCAAGCATTATCTGAAATCATCAGTTTCTTCTCAGAGCCTTTCCCACTCGGGGACCATCCTGGGACGGCCAGTCGCTGCCTTCTAATGAATGCATTTGGGGAATGCTTCTTGGTCTTCCTTCATTCACTGGACTCCTTGTGCCTCCCTGCGCCTGTGCAGACTTCCCTGCTGGGGTTAATGTGCGAGGCCACTGCGGCCCTGCTTGGTGGGGTTGTGGGGAATATTTTAAAAACTGGGGCAGAGTGAGAGAACACTGCGTTTCCTTGCGCCTCTGTCTTCCCAATTAACCACTTGAGGCCAGCGCCACTGTTTCCCCATCAATACGCTCTTGGCCCGGAGGAAGCCCTTGGCAAAGCAGCTACCAAATATCTGCTGCCACGAACCATTGGCCCCTCTTCCCCTCCCCCAGAAACAGGACACACTTTATTCTCAGTCTGGGCAAGTCTCTTCCGCCCGCTGGCCTTGCCGGCCCAGAGTCCTCCACACAGTGTCTGCAAAGGCAGGGCCCCCTCCTCTGAGGAGCAGCACCGTTGGGGCATTCAGGAAGTCCCTGGGCCTGAGCTGCAGCCCAGACCTGCCTTCCAGACACCCAAATTAACCTCCCTGTCCTGTTACTTTGCCCTGCCCTTTGCTTTACAGAGTAACTCCAGAAAAACTGCCAGAAAAATCCTTTTTGGTAAGGGCCAGGCAATGGGACAGGAGATTTCCCTCCATTCTTTTAGCCTGAGAGTTGAAAGCCACAGAGGTGAACTTAGCACATCTCTAAGAAACAGGGGACAATCGAAACACCAAACCCCAGTCTAAGACTTTACAGGGCAGGAGAAGTGGAATGTGGAGCCCTCAGTAAGCAGGCTTGCTATTTATTCTTTGAAATCAGCCGGGCAAGTGAATGGGCAGGCTGGGCATATAACACCTTGTAGGGACTTTGTGATGGCAGCAAACAGCCCCTCCTGACAGGTAACAACCCCTGCTTCTTCCTCATCCACCCTCACCATCCCTCACTATCCCTAAAATGCTGGGAGCCCCTCTTCCATCCCAAGATCACAAGATTCTAGATCAGAAGTGGGGCCCAAGCTGTTTTTCAGCCACACATGCTGATTAAAAAGTTTTCCAGCTCACCCTGAGTTGCCCAGAAATCTCTACTGAGGCCAGAGATGGGAGGCAGTGGTCTGTCTGGCAAATGGGAGTCCTTACTACCAGAAAGGTGCAGGAGATTCCAGATGCTGAGAGATGCAGTGTGTCTATCGCAAGTCAGCTGAGCTCTCACCAAAACCCCCAGACCTGCCAAAGACAAGAATCCTCAGGTCTCCAATTCAGCAACCAGCATGCAGAGGTGGCGCTGGAGCACTGTGGTGGGAGGGCTGAGGAGTTCGCTCCTCACTCTCCCTGACTTCCAAGATCTGTGATCCACAGCCTCTACTCAGACTTAACATAAAAGGCATTTTTATCAGGTGTTACCATGTCCCTTCACCCTGAATGCAAAAGTAGAGAAAGAAAAGCATTTCTTGAATTCTTGGTGGGTATAAAACATCTAAATGGTGCTCTGAAGCCTAGCCCTGTGTTCAAGACTTACAGGCAAGACCCAGGGAGTTGCTGTGTAGGCAGATAACCAGGGACATGCCTCACAGAAAGGGCAAGTGAAGGCAGGGCCCAGCCACTGGGCACCAGCAGCAGGCCCATCACTGTCCTGAGAAGACCTGCAAGTCCCAATGGCCCCTGGAAACTCTGAACACTAAAGAGAAGAGCCCAGCTTGGCCAGCAACATTCTGTCCCTGCTTAGACACAAGATAGAATTTTCTCTCTCCATTAGGAGACATGCTGTTCACTATAACTCCTCCCTTTCTAGACTTAGGTCCCTGAGCCCTGAGCCTGAACCTCTGATAATCTGTAGAGAACTAGCTGGTGGTTCTCCCTCCCTGGCCAGCCCTCTTCAGTTCCCATGCTCAGCCAGCCTGTTCACTGTCCCAACACTGAGCCTTAGTTAGTAGCATCCTCACTCCTCACCTTCCACTTCTCTCAGGGCTCCTTCAGCTTTAAACATTATCCCCACCAGAAGCTCACAAGTCCTCCTGCCCATGTGGTCCAGCCCCAATTCAGAAGAGAGCTACAGTCTGGCCTTCTTCTGGGACTGGAGTGCCCTCTGGACATTTCATCTTCCATAATTCCTAATATCTGTCACTGTTCTTGGTGCATCCTACCATATAGTAGGTATTGTGCCTAAATAATGTCCTTTAAGCATCCTGATAGCTACTCAAGGTTCCACAGCCATTAAGTGGTAGAGCCAGGATTCTAGGCGGGGCCCACATGACCCCCTGCTCCCCTCCTGCATGGTGTGGCCTCCCCAAGTGTCAGGATGTGGGTGGTACCACCTGAGAGCTTCAGTGCTGCAGAGAAGGGCATCTTTCTTCTTTTTCTGCCCAAGAGAATAACTGAAACTTTATCCTCAGAAACTGAAATGAGCATCAAAGCTGGCTTGCTTTAGGTTCAAGACCCTGGTTCCTAGCCCTAGGAGGATGTGCACAAGATAAGGGGGAACCTGGAGTTAGAGCGCAGAGGTTTCTGTGTCTGCAGGGACATCTTAGCATTGCCATGAACACTTGGAGTCCAGAGAAAAGGGGACTTGATGTACACACCACACTGCTAAGAGCACCATCTCTAGCTGTGGTCCTAGAAGCCTGGAGAGTCCCTGTCCTGGTGTCCCCAATGGGGCAGGAGTCCTGTGGACACACAACACAAGGAAGGGAGTAGAGGAGACTTTCCTAGATTTTGAGTGCTCCACAGGATATAGGGTCACAGCCTCACATAGAACCGGAAATTAAAGTGGCACTCAGAACCTTCCAAAGTGGTAGCTAGGTAGTGAGCAAACGGGAAGGCTCCCTGAAGAGGAAGGAAAAGGGCCCAGTCCCTCAGACCCCTGATTTAGACACCAGGGTCCACCACAGGCCACACACACTCCCAACCCTCCACCCCATCCTGCTGTGTTTCAGCATCACCACCAAGAGCGTATCCAGGTACCGGGGTCAGGAACACTGTCTGCACCCCAAGCTGCAGAGCACCAAGCGGTTCATCAAGTGGTACAACGCTTGGAACGAGAAGCGCAGGTAAGCCTCACCACCTTTCCACTTAGGACAGGAGGATAGCGCTTCTGGGCCGTTAACTTCCTACCCAATGTATGAACACCCAGCCTGATATCTATCCCAGTAAGCAGATACACAGACATTCCTTCTATACCTCCAAGGACGAGAAACTCACTACCTAGCAAAGCAGGCTATTCCTTTCTTGGAAGGTTGTAAGCATCAAAAGTTTATCTGTTTGTGAACTCAGTTTTCTACTCTAACTTTTGTGTTAGAGCCTAGTTCATCTCATTTAAGTCACTTACGTTCTTGGATCCCCAGTTTCCTTCTCTATGAAATGGCTGGGAACACACCTGGCATGGCTGTGCTCTGCAGTTCTTGTGAAGTGAAATATGATCATCTAAGTGACAGGCTTTATTAGCTATAAAGCTGTAGCTACAACCACAGGCTCATGTGGAGGACACTTTACTGAAAGCGCATTTTCCCCTTCAAGGTGCTTGTGCTCCCTGCTGCCCAGAAACCTCATCTACTTCCCTCCACTCCTCCCCACTACTCCACACACCACTCCTTCCTCCTCATTCCTCCTCCTCCTCTTCTCCACTCCTGCCCCTCTTCCCACTTCTCCCCCTCCTCTTCACTTCACTCCTCTCTGCATGCAGGTGTGGGGAGGGAGTTGGGGTCCAACCCTGGAGAACCAGGACTGCTGAGATGACAAGAGACCTGCTGTTGACCCTCCCGCTCTGGGGCTTTGCTTTCCCACAATTAAGGGTGCCTGCCTAGCTTTGCTCTCCTCTTAGGTCTGCAGTTGAAGGGGCAATAGAAAGTGCAATTGTACTTCTTGGCTTCCTCATACCAGGAGGAAGGCCTATCCAGGAGCAGCCCTATTTCTCACACACTCAGACCTGCTTATTCCCTCACCTACAAAACGTGGCAGGGACACACACATACACACAGAGGTGACTTAACCAGGACTGGACTCAACCTGGGGAAAAGGCCAAGAAGGGTGAAAGGAACTTGCCTAAGGCATGGGGCAAAGGCAGGGTGAGAATCCAGGCCTCGGGTTCTGCCCCCCTTCCCTGGATGCAGGGCACAGCTGCAATGGGCGCCTGTGTGGCCCTCCCACCGGCCCAGCTCTCAGACGTCCAGCCTAGCCCCGTGACCAGCTCTCCCATAACTGGCACCTGGGCCTATCCCCGGTACCGGAGCCCTTTTCTTGATGCTTCCAAAACTGCTTTGTCTGCAGTTACTTGAAATAGCAAGTGATGAGAGTGAGAGATTATTTTCTGTAAATCTGATGAGAATGAGGTTCTCTGGCTAGTTGGAAAGGGCAGAGCATGTGGCCAAAGCAAGACCTGCCACCTGATCGTGCCTGTTACCCTCCAAGGCCACATCATCCAGAGTGGAAGCTGTCAGATCCCAGGGTGAGTACCTGGAGGAGGCTAAGAATGTCTTTATCTGCCTGCTTAGGCACCTTCCACTTCTGGTGATACAGCCCAGAGGGTGATGGGGAGGTGCACGTAGGTGCCTCAATGTGGCCTTACTCGGCTTTATTTCTGCAAATGCCAGTGACTCCAGCAGTGAAAGCATCCCCATTTCAAGGCCTCCCCTGGGTGCCACTCCAAAATCCACTTCCCCTCTGCCTTGGATTTCAAGGTGTCCTGGCAAAGAAAGAGGACACTCCCACACACTCTGATTTGGAAAATGTTGACAATGCTTCAGTGGAGGTAACGAAGCTGTTCAGAACTCCTCTGCTGAGAGGAAGAGGAACCTAAGGTAGAGGAAGGAGAAAGGCGAGGCGGGGCCCTGGGGCTCCAGGCATCTTAGACAGCAGCACCTCTGACTGCTTAGAGCAACAGTTCATTTCCAGGCATAGTTAGGGGGTCACGTAAATGCAAGAAAGGGCCAAGGCAGAAGGTATGTGGAGCTGAGTGTGAAGTGTGGCTTCCAGGGCAGACATGGGCATTATCTTTCGCTGTCATTGAGTGGATCCCACCTACTGTATAGTGGAACTGTACTCCATGGGGCTTTGGGAGGCAGAGTGCTGGCCTCCCGTGTACCTCTGAGTTCAAACTGTTTATCCTTCACCAGTCAAGCATCTGACTCTGTGTGTTGCCCAAAGACACTAGGATAGGATTAGAAGAAATTAAAATACCTAAATGGAGACATTGTGAGGGAGCAGGGAGCAAGGTCTGCTTGATGTGAGGAGGTGACAGCAAAGCAAAGGCAAAGGGGACAGTCCCAACTCCAGAGTTATTAGCCACGGGTCAGTCAGGGAGTGGTACAACAGCTACTAGACCTGGAGTCTGCCTGGGGAACAAGCTTTACTTGGGCTCAATACTACAAACAAACATGATCACAAGTGAAGGGGAGGGTGCTTTGCCCTGCACCACATGGACGGCCAAAAGAACAAACAGGTCAGTCCTGAAGAAAGTGAAGCCAGGTTGTTCTTTGGAAGCTAGCATTTTGACGCTCCATCTCACATTCTTTCGGCACATGGCCAGGAGGTACTGGTCCTTGGAGAGGGACATCATGCTTGGAAGGGTGGAGGAACAGCACAGAAGGGGAAGACCCTGGGTGAAATGGATTGATATAGGAACTGGGACAATGGGGGTAGGTCTGTTGGAGATGGTGAGATTGCCTCAGGACAGGCAGGATTAAGAGATAATGTTTATAGGGTCACTATGAGTCTCAAGCAACTGGACGTCACATAACAACAATAACAACAACAACTCCCTACCTCTCCAACTGATTTGTCTGAAAAGGAGGGCTAAGCACAGATGAGGAACTGTGCAAGGGGACAAAGGAATGTCCATCATTCCTGCCACTTAAGTTCAATGCTCAGCAGGCAACCTTAAGTCTCTGTGCCTCAGTTTCATCATATGCCAAAGTTTGTTTCACAGGGCTTTGAGGAGAAAAATGAGAGTGCGCAGACAAAAGGTGTTTAGAGAATACAATGCCAAAAATCTCCCAAGATGCCTCTCCCACACTCCCAGGAGAGGAGCACCACCTCACAGACAGCAAGGGGCATAGCCATGTACTGTCAATCTCCTGGTTCTTACTGTGAACCACTTACACATCTGTTTTTCCTTCCCAGGGTCTACGAAGAATAAAATGGAAAAAAAAACACCCTGATATGAAAACTCCAAGCTGGTTGGGAGACTTGAGCAAAAGACTTTGCCTATTAAAACGAAACCTTTCTTTCTCACAGGCATAAGACACAAATTATATATTGTTACGAAGCACTTTTTACCAAGGGTCAGTTTTTACATTTTATAGCTGTGTGCAAAAGGCTTCCAGATGTGAGACTTGTCTCTTGCGCTCCAAACTCCATCACAGGCTACTTTTTACTGTAAAGGGGGAAAATCATGCCTTTCCTTTAAAAAAAAAGTGTGCTTTTATTTGTCCATACATCACTTAGATGCAAATGTGCATCTAAGCTTTCGAAGCATCTGAAAGGAACAATGATCTTGGCTGGGGTACTTCCTAACAGTGCTACTCCATTCCTACCCCATGAAGCTTCCATTCATACTCCCCGAGGTCTCAGTGCCCCAGCCTCGAGCTCCTCTGGGCTCAAGGTGGGTCAGAGCCACAGTGTCACTCCATGGTGGCCACAGTCGCCAGATAAGCTGGGGCAGGTCACTCTGCATCTGGGCTTTGAAAAAAATGTGTTTGACTGCCAGAGAAACGTGCTTCATTCCCCAGTTAACTCTGACACACTTCAGAAGTACATTTCCAAGATCCTTTGATGGCAAAGCAAATCACTTAAGGAAAGTGTTGGGTCCTTTCCCCAAACGAAAGGTTAAGAAAAGTTCACTATTTCAATACTTAATGCTTCCGGATGTACACGAGGTTCCTCCCAACACTGTTAAGAAAAATCTTAGGAAGAAATCTAAAAACATAAGAATACGCTCACAATGTAGCACTCCAAGGGAGAACTTTTGAAGCATCGCTTCCCCTCCCCACCGGGAACATGCAGTACTATAGCAATATATTTGTGACTCCCCAGATAACTCTTCAATGTTAAGCAAGGCGGTCTTCATTTGAAAGCTAAGATGACCAAGCACCCATTCCTTTGTAAATATGCTCTCAGAACAGCCCCCTCCACACACGGCTCCTCCAGTATATGCCTCCTTGTACTGCTGTGTTATATGCTATGTAAATGTCAGAAACCATTAGCGTTGCATGCAGGTTTCATGTTCTTTCTAAGACAATAAGAAAAGTAATAAAATATATTTGAAATGTACCAAAAACTAGACTTCTGATTTTTCTGTTTATTTAATTAAGCTATGATGATGACGTGGCCTCCAATATGGTGAAAGTGTTTTGCTCTAAACTACTAAACCGAAGGTTGCCAGTTTGAACCCATCCATGGAACAAAGGTCTGGCAGTTCGTGCCTGTAAAGATTACAGCGAAGAAGACCTCATGGATGAGTTTGATGCTGTTAATGCACAGGTGTGTGAATCTGTCTGGTTTTGTTTCAGAGGACGTGCTACAGGATGATAACAATGTTCTGAATGAACAAGGATGATGTTTTTTAAAGGAAAGCTGGTATTTCTGTCCCCTCTGTGACCATGTGAAGTTGTCATTCCTGCACAAAATCAGTGGAACAGGCAGGCAGATGCATATGTGATGGCAGGGTCCTACCTCAGTCCTCAACTACAGAAACCAGTCATGAGGGTCCCATAAGGAGGCAGGTGCCTCACTGTGGACTCTGCCATTGGCTGTCTGGGAGCCACACCTGGGAGACGCTGAGACTCCATGTCTGCTTCTGCAAGGTGGAGACGATGGTGCTCCCACCTTGCACCCTGAAGGCTGAGTGAGGACACTCACACTGTGACCTCACACTGTCAGCACTGAGACCATTTTCATCGTGTCAAACCCACTCATAGCAGCCCCACATGTTAGAACAGTTCCAGAGGGGTTCTTGGCTTTTCAGCAATCTCTACAGCAGCAGGTTGCCAAACTTTTCTCCTGCAACACCAACAGAGGTGTTTGAACTGTTACTCTTTAGGGTAGAAGTCAGCTGCAAACTGTTTTCGACAACAGGAGACCAAGGGTCCCCGAGGGCACTTGGTAAATGTGAGATTTTGTTATACATACAAGACTAGGCCACTTGCGTTCACTTAGCAAAAACCACCGGGGGCCCAGCCTTGTGTCATACTGTGTCCTCTGACAGCTGAGCCCTAGCACCAGGCCCCTTTGCCTGCCCAGCCCCATAGCCCTGTCCAGCAGGGCTATTTCCCCCACCTCTGCATGTGATTTTCTGACACATTTGGTTCTGTCAACACTTAGAAGGACATCCACTGTGGGGCAGAACACCACAAGACTCTATTATGCCACCTTTCATAGCTGTGACCTTCCAGAAACATCCCCGGCCCTTTCTTCCAAAGCATCTCTGACTCCTTTCAAACCACCGACCTTTTTAGCCAGTAAGCTGCCTGCCCTTAGCCATGCTTCCCATCCAGAGCACCCACTGTGTGTCCACATGATGCTATAGGAAACCCTTCACGTCATGACCTTAGTATGTCTGGGCAGCTTCACTTCCAGAGTGTTTCTGAGAAAACTGAGGATTAGTGAGGTTAAGAAAGAATCTTTGGGGAGGGGTTTGTGCGGGGAGAAGGGTGCAACAATGAATGAATGGAATCCCCCAAAAAAAATAAATAAATAAAAATTTAAAAAGAAAAAAAAATCTTCAGGTAATAGAGGCCTCTCATCCTTCACCCCCCATCTTCCAGTGGCTGAGCCTGTGAGCCTTCCCAGTGAGCAAGGCCACGCTGGGTCAGGGAACATGAATATCGGAGCTCTCACTTTTCCTTTCATTTGAGAGAAGATGGAGAGGACAGAGGAGTCCAGAGACCAAGAGAGGACAGGAAAGCTGAGTTCACCAGCACAAATTCAGGCCCTGCCACTCTCCCCAGGTGACCTGGACTGCTTGGCTATAGATTAACACCAATGCGGCCTTAGCTACCGACTGCTGCTATAACACAAATGCCAAAAGTGATGGCTTTAAAGATCCTAAATTTATTTTTTCACTGTTTTGAGTACTAAGGTCTCAATCAGGGTTTCAGTTTGTTGATTCCTTCTGTGGATCTTTTTTTGCCAGGGACCTTGACATTGCTTAATTATTTCTCAGCAGGACCTGATAGGAGGGCTGGAGTGACCAGGAAAAGTCCCTGGTGGATGGTGTTCCTTGTCACCCCCCTGTGTGTATGAATCTCTGTTCTTGTGTCTTGAAAGCTCAAAACTGATCAGGCTTAGGAAGACCCTTTCACTGGTCAGGAGCTCCGGAGCCTACTCTGTATGGAGTTGTGCTAATTAATCAGTGGTGCCTTCCTGGTGGTTTGGATCCACCAGTGGTTTAATAAAAGGAAGATGAGCAATCTCCTTGCATGCAATTTACAGCTTCAAAAAAACCCATTAGAGGGTCAGCTATGATTCAGTCACAACCAGGCATTTGGTTGTTTTAGTTCTATACGGATACGACCTCATTAGCATGCAAGATGTTTTCTAAACAGGATTGCAGTCACAGGTACAGTGGTCAGGAGGTCAACATACATATTTTGTTGCTATTGTTAAGTGTCATCAACTTGACTCATAGCAACCCTATGAACAATGGACCCGAGACTGTGTCGTCCTCATCATCTCTATCTTCTGTACTTGAGCCCTTTGATACTGTTACTGTGTCAACCCATCTTTTGAGGATTTTCATTACAATGACCCTCCACTTTTCCAAGCATGGTGCCCTTTTCCAAGGACTAGCCTCTCCTAACAATGTGTTATGTTGTCCTAACACACTCCCAAGTACGTTAGACAAAGTTTCACCATCCTTGCCTCTAAGGTTGCAGCTTCTCCAAGACTTATCTATTTGGGGATTTTCTGCAGCCCATGGAATATTCAGTACACTTTTTCAACACCACAATTCAAAGGCATCAATTCTTTTCTCATTCTTATTTATTGTCCTTTTTTCAAATGCATAGCAAGTAATTGGAAAGCACATAGTTTGGATCAAATGCACTCTAAACGTACATCTTTGCTCTTCGGGACCTTGAAGAAGTCCTTGATAGCAATACATTTTTTTTATTTTATAACTATTGGTAGAAACAACACTGATTGTGGAACTGAGTAAGATGAAATCAGTAACAACTTCTGCATCTTCTCCATCGATTGTGATGCTGCCTATTGACCCAGTGGTGAGGAATTTTCTTGAGGTTGAGATGCAATTCATAATGAAGACTGTAGTCTTTGATCTTCTGCAGCAAGTGTTTCACGTCCTCCTCACTTTTAACAAGCAAGACTATGTCATCTGCATAACACAAGCTGTTTATGAGTCTTTTTCTAGTCCTGAGGTTAAATTCTTCCTCCTAGAGTCCAGTTTCTCTTAATTTGATCCATAACAGGGTCTCAGAAGGGAGAGACTTCAGTAAGAAAATTGGCCGAAATAATTATCACCATCCCTGAAATAATTGCAAAGTCAGCTCATTTGCTGTGTGACAGTGTCAGGGCTCTCCATGCTGGTTGGTCTCTGTGCCTCTAGCTTCCCCTTGACCCTTTCCACTCACTCAGTCTTGCTGCTAAATGCACCAAACACTCCTCTCTTTCCCTCTGCAATCCGAGCACCAGCACATCCCTTTCTGGCTCTGCTGACACCAACGTGCTCCCCCTTCTCTGACCATCCAGGTCCCTGATGGAGTCTAGTCTTCGCAGCGGCTCACCCAGCAGTGTGCCAGACACTAGCCTCGGAGCTGGCCTGCCTCCTCTTTCTTCACTCTCACAAAAGCCTTACACTGTAGGGACTCAGCCAGTGAAGCAGCTTGTTTAGGAAGCTCAGACAGTAAACCAGAGGGAAGCTGGGACTCAAGCCTCAGACTTTCAAAGAGCAGCAGGAGGGGAGGTTTTGTGTGCAAACGTCTCCTTTCCCTGAAGAGGTCTAGTGTCTGGAGAATACAGGCTGGATTGTAATTTTGGAGGAGATCTTGGATCTTTCCCTCCAACTGATAGAAATCAACCAGACAACCAGCACTTCACAAAACACCTGAGGACTCACCCAAAAGAAGACTTCCCACAGAAGAACCCCTTCTCTCATGGTTACAGAGCAACTTTCCACAGAGAGAAATCCTCTAGGCTTTCCAAACACCCTAGTTGTATAGGCTCTCGTCTAGAGGAGCTCTGGTGGCCTAGTGGTAAGA